TCATGTCTTTGTACTTTCTATTACTTTCTTTGTTCTTAATGATTGGTGACTCTAGGTCCATAGCTGTTTCTGGATGGACACATCTTGAGACTGTTTATGGCATCTGCAGTGGTAGCCAGAAAGGCATGTGTTACTTGGGTTTGGGGTTTCATTTTCAGATGTAACTGAAATGAAATGGAAGTTTAGTCACTTCTCTGTAGGTACCTTTCAGATTTGGCGTGCTGGATCTGTGCTAATTAGGGGGAGGGCACACGCATCTGAGTCGACTGCAGAGAAATTTAGAAGTGGGATTGAAGACGACTGAGGTCAACTGTCTCAACAGGCTGATATCCCGTGGGATTGCGAGAGTGCTGTCTGAATGGAGATGGGAGTTTCAAACTGTGTGTCAGGTTTAGTGTAGAGTTTTAAATGGATGCTATTAAGTACAGGGAGTCCATAAAGTTTTCTGCACAATTTAAAATACGTAGTTTTATGGTGTACACTGCACACAAACTTTATGGACACCCTGTATTTATCATCATATAAGTGTAAGTTGTCTTCTTTTTTAGACCTAACTAACTTCTTAACTTTATGGTTTTAGAGTTCACCGTACCCAAGAGGAAAAGAAAACGCTGAACAAAGAGCCTGGTGTAGAGATTTTAATTTGGAGCTTTCTGTCAGAAGATTTGTGACTGGTGTGTTGAACACAAAGACTGTCAGTATTAAAAATTATTCTTCTGGGAAACTATCTGTTATTTCTTTGAAATGTGAATACCCTAACACTGTTCCAGAATGATAGTATAAAAGGTTAGAGTAAGTATTTACTCTGAATTTTAATTTTTAACATTTTCTTATGTATAAATGGAGGTAAAATTTGTATTTCATGTATAATAGAAATAATTGTTAATTGCAGATTATTGTTTTTTATAACTTTGACATTTTTGTTGTTGTTGTTGTTGTTGCAGTTTGGCCTGGCCTGGGGCCGGGTTTGAACCTTCCACCCTTGGTACATGGGGCTGGTACCCTACTCACTGAGCCACAAGCTCCTGCTTTGTATATACAGTCTGGTAATGGATTTGTTTATGATGTGTATTTACTATTTTGTATGTTGCGTAATTAACTGCAATAAACTTTTTGTCTGTGTGCTTTATTTTTAAATATATGAAACAGATAGCCATGATGTAGGTCAGCAGTTCTCAACCTGTGGGTTGCAACCCTTTTTTTTTTTTTTTTTTTTGAGACAGAGCCTCAAGCTGTCCCCCTGGGTAGAGTGCCGTGGCATTACAACTCACAGCAACCTCCAACTCCTGGGCTCAAGCGAGTCTCCTGCCTCTGCCTCCCAAGTAGCTGGGACTACAGGCGCCCGCCACAACGCCCGGCTATTTTTTTTGGTTGCAGCCATCATTGTTGTTTGGCGGGTCCGGGCTGGGGATTCGAACCTGCCACCTCAGGTGTACGTGGCTGGCGCCTTAGCCGGTTGAGCTATAGGTGCCGAGCCCGCAACCCTTTTTAACAATGAAAATACATGGCAGCATTAGGAAGGTTGAGAACTGCTGACGTATGTGATAACTTAAGCTCACAACTCATTTTCCACCTCTGTAATTAATTAAATACTCTTTAGGGCTTGTTTGAAAGCTGTTGGTCTAATATATATGTGTGTGTGTATACATTGATATTTGTATGTAGACATATGTATTTGTCCCCTATTTATATATGAGATTAGTCAATAAATTATTTAAGTATTACTTAAATACTAATTCTTTCTAATATAACCTTTAGGAATAGTAATTTAAATTTCAGAATGTGTCTCTGGTACACAATAGTTTATAGTCACAGGGAAAAAAACTCCAGAGCTTTGTGACTATGCCTCTCTGTTGATTTCTCTTCTGATATATTTAAATGGAGGTTGCTTGTTCCGTATTGTTTGAATTACTGCCCAAGGCAGACCATCTCCAAATGCTGTGGCTGGCTCAGCCTGTCTACTGTTGATTATTACTTTGTGTTGTTTTCCACCATTGCATTTTTCAGAGATTTAAAGTTTGGATTGAAGATTAGAATTCAAATCTGCTAATAGCCTGCAAGTGAAAATGTGTACTTAACCCATCTATATAAAATCTTTTAAAATCAAAATACTAATTCTGACCCGAATAAAATTTTCACCTATTAAGAATTTATGCCATCACATTAGCTACTAAAAGTGATTATTTCCTTTGACCAAAATCAGATGTTTCTGGTAACAGATGAGGTCATTTTCATAATGTGGACATGGGCAGAATGACTAGGACTCAGAAGTTTTGGGGTCAGGGCTCACTGAGGCGGAGTTCCGTCACTGTCGACTCGTATCCCAGGCTGTTTGCCGGGACTTCTCTGATCACTGACATTGATCATTGTGCAGCTAACACAATGCCCAGCCTTGGGCATCTCCTTCTCTGATCATTGTGCAGCTAACACAATGAGGTACTCTCTATTTTTCCACAACTGCACTTAAAAATCAGTAGCTTTCACTCGTAGCTCAGGAGGGTCAGTGCCTTACCCACATTCACAGAAGTAGTAAGTGACGCTTCTGGTAGATACAAAGGTAGGGCTCAGGCCTATAAATCCCAGGGTCTCTGTATATAAGCCAGAAAGGGAAATCCAGAGGGGTACCTTGTGAGCGGTAAAACCCTACTGTCAAATGGCTTAAACAAGATGGAAAGTAAGTTTTAAAACCAGATGAGCCCCAGTACAAGGTGGCTTCAGCTTGTATAGGACATCTGTTCTTTGGTGATTTTGTATACCTGGGTTTGGATTTTGGGGGAAAGCTTTATACCATTATAGGGAGCGGATTGCCAGCCAGGTGTCTAGGTGAGCCCAGGGCCAGGCCTGCAGGAGGTCTAAGGGCAGCAATCTCAGGCTGCTCTGTTACCTTTCTCCTGCACACGGCCCATTCTGTTGTCACTGTTCCCAGCATTGAATGTCATTTGTCACTATTTTCAACATTTCATTGTCACTGTTCCCACTATTGCGTTGACCTTTGTTTCTAGATTTTGGTTCACTGTGTTGATATTTCTGTTTGACAAATCTACACAGATTTTGCTTGGTCAGACTGTATGTGTGTGTAACATTTTGTTAAATTGCCAAATTGGGCTCCAGAAAGACTTCCAGTTTACATTCCCACAAACCGTATCTGCGATTGATTGCAGCTCCCCATTATCAGCCTTCGTAATTGTGGTCAGTTGAAGAACAGTGTGAATCTTAGTAGAAATACAGATAAAAATAAAATTGTGTTAAGCAGATGTGAGTTCTTTATACGGTGCATCTGACGAGTGCAGTGGTTAAGCTGTAGTGAGTTTGTCATGAGTTTATTTTAAAGATCAGGTATGAATCACTGAAGTTTGCTATAAATATGAAATTGAAGCTTATTGAACAGATTTCGAATAGAAAATATTTGTGTTTAACAGTGGGTTTTCAGAATTAAAAGGAGATGCCCAAGGCTGGGTGTGATGGCTCACACCAATAGTACTGGCACTCTGGGAGGCAAGGCAGGTGGATTGCTTGCACTCAGGAGTTTGAGACCAGCCTGAGCAAAAGGGAGACACCTGTCTCTACTAAAAAATAGAAAAATTAGTTGGGAGTGGTGGTACATGCCTGTAGTCCCAGCTACTTGGGAGGCTGTGGCAAGAGGATCCCTCGAGCCCATGAGTGTGAGGTTGCCATGAGGTTGTCTGACACCCTGGCACTCTAGCCTAGGGCAATAGAGTGAGACGTTGCCTAAAAAAAAGAAAAAGGATGTCAAAATACTAGCTACCAATTAAGGTATTTGTTTTACTAACTTGATTATAACAGTGTCCCACATCATAAGTATATAATTTCAATATTGAATATTTATCAAGTTAACATTTTGTTGAGGAAGAGGGGTTGTAGATGTAAACAAGTGAGCAGTATTTTAAAACCATACCACTTTGAGAATTCCCAATATGTGCAAAGTATTAGAGTTTGGATAATACCGGGTTTATTTGGAATATCTAAAAAGCCTGTGAATAAGGCCCAGCTTGGTGGCTCACGCCCGTGCCTGGGCAAGGGTTTGCTACAGCTCACCAGCCTGAGCAAGAGTGAGACTCCTGTCTGTACTAAAAATAGAAAAACTAGCCAGGTATTGTGGTGGGCTCCTGTAGTCTCAGCTACTCTGGAGGCTGAGGCAAGAGGACTGCTTGAGCCCAAGAGTTTGAAATTGCTGTGCACTCTACCCAGAGTGATGGAGTGAGACTCTGTGTCAAAAAAAATAAAATAAACCCCAAAAATACATGAATAGGCTGGGCAGAATGGCTCACAACTCTTAATTCTAGCACTCTTGAGAGGCCGAGTCAAGAGGATTTCTTGAGCCAGGAGTTCAAGACCAGCCTGAGCAAAAGCAAGACCCCTGTCTACAAGAAATAGAAAAATGAGCTAGGGGTGGTGAAGGGCACCTATTGTCCTGACTGCTCAGGAGGCTAAGGCAGGAGGATTGCTTGAGCCTGGAGTTGAAGGTGACCCGTGATGATAGCATAGCACTGCAGCCTAGACAATAGGAGGAGACCCTGCTTCAAAAGCAAAAACAAAAAAAGTGAATAAAAGTGAAATCATGAAAAAAATGCAGCTTGTGTGGATTCTTAATTAGGGGAATAAAGTAAAATATCCTAATTTATTTTCTTCAAAAGAAAACTGTTCTGGGAATGTACAGTTCTCTATGAGAAATAATAGCTGTGCTGCCTTTGTTTTCTTGCAGCAGTTCTCAACCTGTGGGTCGCAACCCCTTTGTAACAATGAAAATACACCCTGCATATTAGATACTTACATTATGATTCATAACAGCAAAATTACAGTTACACAGTAGCAACGAAAATAACTTTATGGTTGCAGGGGGAGGGGGGTCATCACAACATGAGGAACTGTATTAAAGGGTCAGGGCATTAGGAAGGTTGAGAACCACTGGGTTTATCTTGTAAGCAAACCTAAGATCCCATCCGAATTTATGACCCCTCTTTCTTAATACCTCTGAAGCTTCCCTAACTGAAGTGGATGTGTTTAATGATGGGAAACGTGTCCAGTGTCTCTCCTTTTTTTGAGACAGGATCTCACTTTGTGCTCTGGGTAAAGTACCGTGGTGTCATAGCTCAGCAGCCTCAAACTCCTGGGCTCAAAGGACCCTCTTGCCTCAGCCTCTGAGTAGCTGAAACTATAGACATGCCAAACCATACCCAGGTTTACCTCTGTTTTTTAAGTAGAGATGGTTGTCTTCTTTTTGCTCAGGCTGGTCTTGAACTCCTGAGATCAAGCGATGCTCCCACCTTGGCCTTCCAGAGTGTTAGGATTATAGGCCTGAGCCACTATGCCTGCCCATGTCCAGTCTCTTTAACATCCAGTTGAATTGCTTGTTTCCTAGACAGACAGTTGTTCATTTGTAAGCCAAAGGAGGGACAATGAACCAACTTAATGGACAAAGACTTTTTTTATACAGCGATTTTTCAGGATAGTGATAAAGAATTAAGAACTTTATTTAAATGGTATAGAAGAATTTAACTGACTTGTCCAAATATATTAACTGCTTTGTGCTTTGGACATGTAAAGCTGTGAATGCTAAACTTCCAAGTAATGACAGCTGGAAAGTACGTTTGTAAAAAGTATCTGGATACCAAGGAAACCTAAGTAATCACGTGGTAAGTTTTGAGGCGATTTTCTTAAGCCATAATGTTAATAATTGAAAATTTACGGCCGGGCATGGTGGCTCATGACTACAGTCCTAGTGCTTTGAGAGGCCAAGCCAGGTGGATTGCTTGAGCCCAGGAGTTTGAGACCAGCCTGAGAAAGAGTGAGGCCCCATCTCTACTGAAAAGAGAAAAAACTACTTGGGTGTTGTGGCAGGTGCCTGAAGTCCCAGCTACTCTGGAGCCTGAGGTAGGAGGAAGACTTAAACCCAAGAGTTTGAGGTTGCTGTGAGCTATGACACTACGGCACTCTACCCAGTGTGACAGAGTGAGACTGTCTATAAAAAAGGAATAAAAGCTACTTGTTTACTTACACACAGATCCTCCGATAGTTAGGAGACCAAATTCTCATAGCTCAACTGACAACTTAAGGAGATCCTGGCTTCCTTTCTTAAAGTTGGTTTAACTACAATATGTATTCTCTTCTCAGTTAACTAT